AGGGACTAAATAGGGAGAAACTAATCAGGTGCAGCTGGTGACAAGCAGGTGTAGAGGATAGCGTAATCAGGGTAAGGGAGAGAAAACAGAGTGAGGGGAGTGAGAAAGGAGGTGCAACCGGGCAAACCTGACAATTCCTTTTACTGGAAGGAGTGGGCGGACCAAGGAATTTGGTCAATTCGACATCTAATAGACGACAGAGGCAATACTCTAGACCTAATAGCATTCAACAACAAGTATAATTTAAACTGTACTCAGGATAAATATAATAAGGTGATAAAAGCCATACCACGAGCTATTCTCATAAATATTAAAGGTTCACTATATTATCAAAGGATGATACATCGCTTACACCCTTTATTAGTACAAGACTGTACTTTTCTATCTGACAAATGCAGTAAAAACCAATTTTCAAGATCCATACTTACTAAAGCATGTTTTCCTTCATCTCTGAAAAGAAGGTATTTGCTAGAAAGATATCTGAATGCTTCCTCTGATGCAAAGAAAATAAGATGTTATTTCTTGAAGTTCCCAATTTCACCTAAAGCTAAAGAGGTGCATTTTAAAACAATGAATGAAATCTATCCATGTAAAGAATTGTTGTACCTTAAATTTGGGCTTGACACAAATGTATGTACATTTTGTGAAAATGACATGGAATCACAGGAACATCTTTTCTTCAGCTGTAGTGTGTCTTCTTCATTTTGGAAAGCATTTTGTCAGTGGTGTTTAAAGGATAATCCGTCTCTATCTCAATTAAACTATGAAAATATTCAATTTGGTATAATGTTAAAGGACTCAAGAATGGAATTTATATTAAACAATTTGATAATTATGGCAAAATATTATATACATAAATGCAAATTTAGACATTTGACCCCACATCTCTCAGTTTTTATGAAAGAGCTTTCTATTCTGTGTGATTCATTGAAGTATATAAACACGAAACTGTCACAGGAATTATATCAAATATTAATTAATCTTCTTTCCACAACCCCAGAAAATGTAAATGAATGTGTTGAATAGTTTTTTTGTGTGTGTGTGTCATTTGGCTTTCCTGTTCTATTGGGATAATGTTAGTTAATTTTGAACTTGCTCAGTCTTTGTACTGTTCAGTATTTGTATTAGACTTTGTAATTGCTTGTCTGTTTGGTTTGACATAATAAAAAAAAAAAAGTATGTTCTGCACTCGCATGGCAGACATACAGTGCCTTGCGAAAGTATTCGGCCCCCTTGAACTTTGCGACCTTTTGCCACATTTCAGGCTTCAAACATAAAGATATAAAACTGTAATTTTTTGTGAAGAATCAACAACAAGTGGGACACAATCATGAAGTGGAACGAAATTTATTGGATATTTCAAACTTTTTTAACAAATAAAAAACTGAAAAATTGGGCATGCAAAATTATTCAGCCCC